ATTATATAAGTAAAGTTAAGAGTATTACTAGTAGAGATCTAGGCCTACGTACTATACGTTACAAAAGTTAAGGTTAAGCTTATTAAGGCCTTTATAGTAAAGTTTATAATAATAGTACTATACCTTTAGAGCGCTAAGTTAGTAACGTGCTTATATAACTAAGGATTAATCTAGTAAGCCTAGATCTTTAACTATAAGCTATATTTAGCTAACTTATAAATCTAAAGATACTTCTAGTACTACTAGTTTAGCTATATTAAGTAATTCTATAAAAACTAGGCCTAGTACAAACACTATATAAGTATAGCGTACTCTTAAAGTAAAGAGAAATACCTTTAACTTAATAGTAGAAAGAGATATATTAACTATAGTAGACTATATATAGTATAAGACTACTAGTATCTTAAGGCCCTTAAGGTAAAAGAGTAAGTATATACTATATATTAATAAAGGCCTAGATAGTTTAAGGTATCTAAGAGTAGCTTTACTAGTTAAGTACCTAGTACTATACTAGTATCCTTATAAGATAGCGACAATAGCTACTAGATTATAGTAACTAAGAGACTATAGATAAGTAATAATAAGAAGCTTATAGTAAAGACTCTAGTAAGGTAAGAGCGCTCTTTTATTAAAGTACTAGATATAATAATAGTCTAGAGCTATAACATTATAGAGATATTAAGCTAAAGAGCTAGCTAAGAGTCTAGCGACCCTTTTGTAACGTAAGACTTATAGATCCTAGACTTTTAGTAATAAAATTAATAATAGTATACTAGAATACTATAAGAAAGAATAGCCTTACTTTAATAGTACTTTATAATTACTATAAAGCTAACGTTATAGTAATTTAAGAGCTATAGTATAATACTTAAATAAAGATAGTCTACTACCTAGTATAGGTAAAGTACTAGTAAGTCTATAAAGGTAAAGGCTATATAGTTATCTATATCTATAAGTAGTACTTACCTCTTACTTAAGTAGTAAAGATAAGTATTAATGTTACACAATAGGATATGGGATACCGGGGCCATGGGAGACGGATACTAAGGGTGCCTAGGGCATGGAAACCAGTAGGATGCCTCAGGCAACTAGCTATATATACTCTGTATTCTAGCTAGAACAAATAAATCATCCTTCAACCTATTACATCAGCTTACAAATAGTAGCAATACCTTTGTTCCGACCCCTCTATTAAAGAGGACGGACCGCCTATACCCAGCATTAATACCTATACCTATACTAATCAGAACGCGATCAAACGCGGTCCTATACTATTAATCCTACCTAGTATCGATCCTACCCTACCCCGACCTGTCGAAAGCGAAGCGACTCCTACTACCCACCTAATGTTAGCGGCTCTACTCGCGCCAATACTCGAGCTGGCATCACAACCTAAGCTCTTCCCTAACATCGTTAAGCTCGCTCACTAGTTCGAGGCGGTACTCGCCTATAATCCGGCGCTCGCTAGACGCATCCTAATCGCGCTCCGGCCATACATACATACCGTCACCCGTCGCTTCCCTCTAGAACCGGTAGCAGAGACATTAACATCAACAACCTCGACAACCGGCCGTAGAGGAAGGAGCGCTTCTATAGAGGCTCCTAGCCCCTTTCTAGGACAGTAGATCATCGATCGCAGTAAGCTGCTTAAGGCCCTTAAAGTCTTTGGCGACGCGACAGAAGGGATCAACGTCCTAGAGGATCTACGGGCACAAGAGGCAGAGCAGAGGCTAGAACAGCTACGAACAGACGCACGTCGGAACTAACGCAGGCGAAGCCAATCCCGACGTTCAGAGGAGCATCGATCTAAAACTACAGAAGAGATTACTAGGGACATAGCATCAGGATTAGGATCGGTAGCAGGAGGCTTAGGCTTAGGCTTAAGCTCTAGAGCCGGAGTAGGGTCCAGGTCATCCGGGCTTTTTACTAATAGAAGATCGGGAACTAGAACAGGCAGTAGTACCCTTAGGGGTAACGGTAACGGGTCAGCCCCGAACGTCTTTACGGCGGATATCATGTAGTAGCTACAGGCAATGATTAAGTAGAGTGTGGCTACGGCCGTCCGTAACAACCAGCCGAACAACCGGCAGCGCGATAACGAGGAACAGGGTCTTGTCCTAGTCCAAAACCCGGTAGATAACAAGTAGAGACCTAGGGACATCAGCTTCTTTAATCCCGAACTAGATAAATCAGTAGGTACAGGAGATAGCGTAATAGTCGGCAACAACATTCATTAGAGGGACGTTTACCTCTTTACGGACGCCGTACGCGATAACGCTTCTAGAGGACAGGATCAGATCGTACAGCAGAACTTAGTAACCTGCCTAAGGGGCGCGGCCCTAGCATAGTACACAGTAGAACTAGACGATTTGTAGAGAATAGGTCTAAAACACGGCCTAGGCGGCATCTAGGCATAGACCGACGCCTTAATCCGAAGGTTTAAGGAGGCACCGACGTCAGCGCTTCGTAAACTACAAGCTACTAGATATACAGTAAGCGATACACGGTCAAACCGGAGCCTAAGAGCCTTTACGGCTAAAGTGATCCGCCACGCGAAAGCCGCGGAATTCGATAAACCGATCTAGTAGCTTTCCTAAGCATATAACAACCTAGACCCGGCGATCCGACCATTCGTTAACCGCCCTACTGATAATACGACAATCGCACAGTTTATAGAGGAAGTAGCATCAAAGCAGGATGCGATTCGGGACATGCTCTAGGCGCAGTCTCGAAGGATGCCCGAGCCGATACGCGGTAGGCGTAGGCAAGGTAATACCTTTCGTAACAATAAGTTCCGGTCTTTTAATTCGTTCCAGAATAATCCCTCTTTTCTGTCGATACGTCCTTTTACGCCGCCGTCATTTCGGCCGCTATTTTTTCCTTTCCTACAGGCTAACAGAGCTAACGACTAGACCTAGCCGCTACTACTGTTACAGTAGTTAACAGGTATAGACAAAGGGCTAGACAGGAACAATCGCTCTGGGCTACCCTATTCGAACGTATCGCTAGACAAGGGCAAAGGGAAAGAGACATAGTAGTAGGGTTAGTATTAGTACTAGAACTAGTACTAGAGCCAGAACTAGTACTAGAACCGGTACTAGAACCAGGACTAGTATAGGCGTAATGCGTACGGTCCGTATAGTAGCGGGCGTTTTAGACGTTTCTAGCGAAATGACACGGCAAACCTTTCCGATGATTTTGTTGACGTTCTAGAGGAAGTAGGCACTAAATACGACTAAGAGTTAGTAGACTAAGGGTACACTATAGTAGAGGAAGTGTCACTTAGCTTAGGGGAAATGGTCTAGCTATTGTAGGAGCCGGAAGATAATACATTACTCGTTACTAGCCTAGAGCTAGTAGGCCTAGAACTAGTATGCCGAAAGTGCTCCTAGACCTTTCTATTACGCACTAAGCTGTTTAAGTACGTGAACTCTAACAGCTGTACGCCGGCTAAGAAGAGTATAGTCGCATGCCAGGAGGGGCTGACCGCATCCGGTCCGGACCTTATGATCAGGAGGGTCATAGAAGCAACACCTCAGGTTGTAGATACTAAGCTAGGCTCGGTCGCAAGGTACTTATACGCTACAGTAAGAGTAAAGTTCGTACTAGGTAGCGCTAAGGAGCACTAGGTATGTATCGACACAGGTTGTTCTCGGTCTGTGGTAGACCGGGAGTAGGTCATGCGACACCTAGGAGCCAAGATTGACTATTCGTGGTTAACCGTAGTCAAAGGCCTGGCCTCTAAGCTACTGCTTAAAGGATAGGCATCGTTCGACCTGTACATTAACAGCACCGTTAGCAGTAACGTAGTAACGGCACGGATTAAAATCAGGGCATAGATTACAGACAGGCTCGGCCTAAAGCTCTTGATCAGAAACGAAGTTCTGTTCCCTCACTAGGCAGTCATAGACTTTACTAGCAAAACACTAGCGATCAGGGCATGCTAGGGCATTACAGTCAAGATCTAAGTACACTACCGCAAGGGCCGGGTCATTTGTAAGGTACTAGCGGCCTGAGAAACCAGGGTCCCGCTAGGGGCGACGATAGCAGTACTAATTCGCTACGCAGAGGTCCTAGCAGGCAAGAGTTACATGTTTACAGGTTCGCATCCGGGCGCCTAGGACTCTATCACGGACTACGTAAACTTCGTTACTGTTACAAACACGACAGCAAAAGAGATAACGATCCCTCGGAAAGCGCGCCTCAGAACACTTAATGAGTTCGAAGAGGAGGGGTATTACCTCGCGCAGGATCTGGTCACAGAGGACGCACGGAACGCCTACCGCTAGGCGCTAAAAAAGGAACTAGGATCATTCTAGGATTACAGCCCGACGATCAGTATATCGCGGCCTACTAACGTCGTAGAGATCACAACAGCGGAAGGCATTTATATATACGACACCGACCTAGTGCTAACCCAGAAGCTACAGGCATTAGTTTCTAAGTTTACGACGTACTAAGAAGAGAAGGGACCTATAGACATCCTAGAGGACGAGAGGATGCCTGTGCCCTTAGTCAAAGGGTAGCAAAACCAGAAGGTTGCCACCAGATGTTACCCATTAGGTATCAAAGACCGTAAGGCTGTCGACAAAGTGTTCGACAAACTGTACTAAAAGGGGCTAATAGAATAAGTAACTCTGCCTACCCCCTTTAGGTGCCCTGTCTTTGTTGTATGGCGTACAGTTAATAGGCAACGCAAGGCGCGCCTAGTAGTCGATCTCCAGGCACTAAACAAGGTAACCGTGCCAGACGCGTATCTAATGCCCCTATAGTCAGAGGTTATTAAAGCCCTTCAGGGGATGACATACATTACGGTAATCGACGGATCTTCTTTCTTTTATTAATTCCTAGTCCGGCAGGACCACTAGGAACGCTTTACTATCATCAGTTACTAAGGCCAAGAAATGCCTAACGTCGCATTAATAAGGTTTAAAAACTCCCCTACTTTTGTCTAACGGTATATAGATTCTAAAATGCGGGACCTAAGGCACTGTTCTTAATGTTTTATAGATGATATCGTCGTCTTCTCTCAGACAGCAGACGAGCATGTAACACACCTGCGTAACGTGCTATCCCTGTTTCGAGATCTACGCATCACATTATTACTAAAGAAGTCGTTTTTAGCGTACCCGTCAGTTAAGCTACTCGGGTATCAGGTAGATAGGTTTAGAATAGCGACGACGGCAGAACGGGTAGTATCGATAAAAAATCTAAAGTTCCCTAAAAACTTAAGGGCCCTAGAACAATACCTAAGGATAACAGGCTACCTACGCTAATACGTGCTATAGTACGCCCAGATCGTACAACTACTGTAGGACCGGAAAACGCAGCTCCTCGCGGTCGGACGAGAACAAGGCATCACGAAGAATAAGAGGCGTAGATTTGTAGCGCGGACGTTATAAGAGCCTACGCTAGAGGAGCGTAACAGCTTTAAGGCAACACGGTCATACCTTTCCGATCCGCGGTTTCTAGTCTACTTCGACCTAGAACGCAGATTATACCTTAAAATCAACGCGTCTAACGAGCGTAGGTTTGGCATTATAGCTTTCTACTTAAAGGAGGGATACAAGGTGCCGGCAGACCTTGCCAAAATCAGCTCTACTATAGTCCAGCCTATTTTGTTCCTTAGTAAGCTTTTAGGCCCGGCTAAGAAGAACTACAAACTAATAGAGCTAGAAGTAGCATGCCTGGTGTACACGGCACGCCGGCTACACGTTATGCTCTAGTCGTCTAGAACTGTAGTAATCGTGCTTACAGACTATTCCGCGACACGCGGAATCGTAAAACAAACGTCACTAATCACAACGGACGCAGACCGGTCGAACATCAGGCTGGTCTAGGCGTCGTAGTACCTCTCGCAATACAACATAGACGTAAGGCATATCCCCGGGAAGACGAACATTGTGCTAGACGTACTGTTAAGGCTAAAGGCAATAGAGCCTAGGGACGTTTCTAAGGACAACACCCTAGATCACATCTAGATTACGTTAGAAGCGCTAGTAACAGACGAATTTAAGAAGGAACTACAGGAGGGATACTACGCGGACCCTTATTACCGTCGTGTGTTCTGTATGCTTAGTATAGAGAAGGGCGAGACTACGGACAGAGAGAAAGCCAGTATACTGTTTATTTAGAAAGGCGGACTACTATACTACGTTGTGTTAAATAGTCTAGCTAGACTCTATATCCCGAAATCAGTAACTCAGGCTGTTCTAAAGGAAGCCTATAGTCCTCTCTACTTTAGAATCGATCGCATAAGGCAGGCATTACAAGGCATGTCTATTTACGGTCTTACGAAGAAGCTTATTGATTACGTACGCCATTGTCCGAGTTACTAAGTAAACGCAACATTACGCTTGCCGCTACCGGGCGAGCTATAACCAATTCGATCCCTTCTAATACCGTTCTACACGATTGTAATAGACTTTATTACCGGCTTGCCGGAAGTACTAGTAGTCGCCCTATAGAAGATCAAAGGACACGATACCTTCGACGCGATGCTTACAGTCACTTACAAACACAATAAGAAATCGCTGTTAATCCCAGGCAATAGTACCTATACAGCAGAGGAATAGGCAGAGGTGTTAGTCCGGATGCTCCTACTCTCGGACTAGGGAATCCTTATAGGCATAATCTCTAATCAGGATCCGAAATTCATATCGGCCTTCTAGAAAGAGCTTTTCCGCCGATTTAATACCAAGCTACTCATGTCTACAGTATAGCACCCCTAGACTAATAGGCTGTCTAAACGAAAAAACCAGACGGCAGAGATCGTAATCCGATACTAGATATTTGATAACCCAGACTTACTGTAGACATCTAGCATCATAACCTTACAGGCTACGTTAAATAACGCTTTCTTAGACTCTATCAGGACGAGCCTAAACGAGCTAGTATACGGCTTTAAGCCTAACACGTCCTTGTCGTTACTAGCAGGGCAAGACCAACAGCAGGAAGCCCCAGAGATCATCTGTCGTCTCCGACAGCACGACGCTAAGGTTACTATCGACTTTACAGCAAATGCCGCAAAGGAATACTACGACGCTCGTCACAGCCCTATCACGATAGACGTCAGCGACAAAGTGTTTCTCCGACTTTACAAGGGCTACTATTTACCAGGAGCCTAAAACAAGAAGCTCTCCCAGCAGAGAGCTGGCCCCTTCAAGGTAGTACGACAGGTTGGTCGGCTAGCATATAAGCTCGATTTTCCTCGGTCATAGAAATGTCACCGCGTCATATTAATTGCCCACTTGCTGCCGGCGCCTAAGGGACCAGACCCATATGACCGTCCCGCCCCAGACAGCCAGGAACTAGTCAAGGGCGTTTAGGGCGACACCAAAGACTAGGTGTCGTACGAATTAGAACGCATCGTAGATAAAAGGATCACTAAGTACGGCAAGAAGGCTACGGTCGAGTATTTAGTCAAATTCAAAGGATAGGGAAACCAATAGAATAAATAGTACCCGGCTAAGCTTCTTAGTAACGCGAAAGAACTCGTCAAGGAGTACGAGAAGAGGATAGCGCCTAAAGGCCCTCCCCGTCAAAAGAGAAGGCCTAAGAGGGCCTAGCGCGGCCCGGCCGTACTAAGTTTTAGACAGGAATATTACTATTACTCACGACAACACACAAGTTCCTCTAACCGTTACTACGTCCCGGTTGCCCACCACTTTACACACGATCATCATCTCTCCGCGACTAATCGTGCGTCTTTACTTACATCTCTCTAATCAACTGATCGCGCGTCTTTACTTACATCATCGACTAATCGCGCGTCTCCCCGCATTCATCATCTCTCCGGATCGCGGGTCAGTCTACATCTCACTTTTAACACAATCACATTCGCTAGTCTGCCACCCTATATCAACCCCTACGACACCATAACCACCCTATCCGCTTACCTCGTTATGTTTTGATCTGTACCACCTATCATCCCTACATATCTCTACGGCACCATAGACCCGGAGGTCAGAGCCATACTATAGCGGGCCTAAGAGGAGTTGTAAGAGCAGCTACAATAGGACGACGACGAGTCTAAGCTACGTTAGTCCAAACCACGCGACCAGCCGCCAGAGAAGAAGGCCAAGAGATCGCGAGCCCGGGAGCACTACTATCGTAGGGTTCGCGACATGTTAGGACAAATAAAGATCCCGAGCTTCGACGACTTGGACGCGCTTCGTGTCGAGGCCGGAGGAACGGTGCTATAGCGCATCAATATCCTCTACGACGCTTACATGCTATTAAACTAGGGCTATTTGCCTAACCGCCAGTAGCTTTTAGATCTAGCTTCTGTCTTCCGCGACGGCGTCACAGGCAAGGTCTACTAGGCAGCTATCGATCTCATTATAGCCAAAAACATAAGGATTTACAGAGACTACGCTACGCATTTCCTTTTTAAGTCCCTAACCGCCGACAAGAGGCAAAGAGTGTTAGACGCCAGCATTAATCTTAATAGCATTCCTGTAGACACAAAGGCGTTCAATACCGCATCAGGATAGAGACTGCCCTAGCCGTCCTAACAGCTTTAGCAGGCCCAGCAACCTGCCTAGTAGTAGCCTTAGTAGGCCCAGCAGCCCTAGCAGGCCGTCGTCCGAGCCCATCCCTAAGTCATATTACCGGAGGTCGTTATAGCGGCGATCAATAACGCGCTGTCCCCAGCAGTCGTCACTATAGTAATTAATAGCGCCGTATCACAAAAGTTTACTGTCACCGACTACCGCGTCTATACACGGGCAGTCGAGATTACTCAATCGGCTAAGAAATTGTACGCGCATCTGACCAAGGCGATGTCTCTCCTAGCATTACAACCGAACACGGCAGCTGCGTCCGAACTGTTTAACGACATAACAGCGCAAGGCTTCCTGGCACAAATTACGGCAGCAAGAACGTTGTTTGGCAGTATTACTAGCGCAAAGGTCATGTTACCCATCTCAGAAGGCTTGCCACTAGACGACGCCCCGGCGCTATCCTTTTAGCTCCCGTCTATCTAGGACATGGTTTGTTCCGAGGACGGAACAACTCCTAGGGGGTGCACTTGTTACACAATAAGATATAGGATACCAGGGCCATAGGAGACGGATACTAAGGGTGCCTAGGGCATGGAAACCAGTGGGATGCCTCAGGCAACTAGCTACATATACTCTGTATTCTAGCTAGAACAAATGAATCATCCTTTAACCCATCACATCAGCTTACAATTAACTAGTACTACGTTACCTTATAAGGTATTACTATCTAGTTAATATACTTACTAATTCTTAACTCTTTAGGCTAGACTAGCCTTTTCTAGCGACTTACTAAAGAAGACTTAGTAAGGCTATAAGTTATTATAAGTAACATAAACCTTTATTACTTACTCTAAGATAGAGCTAGTAAGACTACCTTTAAATTAAAGACCTTTCTCTATCTAGCCTATAAGTAGTAGCTCTTACTATATATACCTTAAAGAGAACTAACCTAATAGTAATATAGTAAACAAGACTTAATAATTAACTATATATAGACTATAGTAACGCTTTAGTATACTTACTAGAGTAACCTAAAGTATAAGGGCTCTAACTACTACACCTAGCTAATTAAGGTTATTACCTAAGTAAGAGATTAATAAGAGAGAGCTATAAAGGTACTAAGATAGAGCTAGACCTTAATAGACTAAGAACTAGTAATAATTAAGGCTAAAAGGCTCTACCTCTTCTTAAAGCTACTAGATATACTTTATAAGCTTAATAAGGTAGTTAACTTACTTACTTTCTAGCTTATATACATTATAGATATATCTACCTTAAGAAAGAAGGTTAGCTAAGAGCGTACTAAGCTCTAGTAAAATAGTAAGGTTCTAGACACTATCTAACAAGTATAAGTAGCGTACTATTAATATACTACTACTTACAGGCTGACCGCCCTTTATTTAAGAGATAGTTAAGCTAGTATTAAGTTTATATTAACCTAGATTTATAAGCTTAACTTAGTTTTAATCTAATTTTAAAAGGTTTTAAAAACTTTTAAGCTAAGTTTTAAAGGTTTTAAGTAGTTTTAACTAAGTTTTAACTAAGTTTTAACTAAGTTTTAAATAAATTTAACTAGATTTAATTAAGTTTAACTAGATTTAACTTAGATTTAACTTAGATTTAACTAGAATTAACTAGAATTAACTTATTATTATTATTATTGTTCTTACTACTTATGTCTACTATATATAGAACCTTTATACTATATAAATCATGTAGTAAAACTATGCTAAAGCTAGGTAAAAACTTATGTACTACTACTTGTGTTTATA